TTCGCCATTCGTCTCCGCGTAAGGCGATCTCCTTGCTGTTTATCACTACTACATGATCGCCGCAAGAATCTATATAAAAATTATTAAGTACATATTAATAGTCCACATCAAAGTTTTTTTTATAATTACGCTTATTACATTTTTTTATCTAAAGATTTGGATTTGCGATGCATAATTAGGTCTTTATATGTTTTTATTCTATAGTATTTTATATAGTTATATAAATATTTTCGCTCTATGAAAATAATTATAGGAAAAAATCTTTTATTCTTATTCTTCCATTGTTTTAATCTTCCATAGTTTTTCTGTACAATAGGACAATAGGTGCATAGATAAATGTTCTTTTTCTCCCTATATTAATATTTTCATATAAATTGCTTTATTCATAAGAATACAAAGAAGTTAACGCTTTGTTATATGGAATTAAACTTGTATAAGCATTCCGAAATAATGAAAACTTAGCCAAATCTGTCAAGAACAGATTTTTGAAAGTGTCTGCTACAAATTTTGTCAGTTCAGATAGAATGTCAGCAGAAATATAATGAAATCTGTTAACAGAATTTATAAATAGTATAATAGCAGATTGTAAAAATTGAACACAGAATCTGCATTTTTATAACCATTTAAATGTTTATGAAATAATTTTGTTCAATAGGCTATGTAAAAACACAAATGCGGATGCACAAGTGATATCAGATCTCTGTTGTAATATTTAAACAAATCTGCTACCATAGACCTGTTCTTTTCAGCTGAACTTCTGCACGGTTCATCTTTCCTCTTTTTCTTTTTATGTTAGAAAGAAAAAGAGAAAAGATTGAACTGTGCAAGAAGTTCAACTGAAAAGAACAGGCCTAAGGGCCGGTATCACAGTCTCCGATTAACGTGATCCTCCAATTAAACTCACTCTGCATCTCTTTCTAACTGTCCCTCTAGAAAGAGACGAAGAGTGAGTTTAATCGGAGGATCACATTAATCGGAGACTGTGATACCAGCCCTAAAATCTGTTGTTATACTGCAGGCAGTTTGCTTGTTGGGAGAAAGGAGTTATTACAATACATGATACTTACTCAGTGGATGATATATTGGCTTGTACATTCCCATAAGATAATGTTTTATTACTTCAGCACTCTTGTACGGATCTTGCCATTTTGCATCGTATATGTGCCAAATGCGAGCAAATGTTCCCCAATGCTAAAAATAAATTGGAAACAAACGTAGATTTTGCAAAATTTGCAGTGAATCTAAAGATAGCAAAAACGACAAGGGCTGCATTCCGGTATTCACTACTAGGCTGTTTCGATATTTACTGCAAGTACTGAAAATCTATTCTATAGTTTACGTCACATATATTATAGATTTTCAGGACGCAGTTAATTTCGAAACGCAGTTTCTTAGTGACTGAGAATCCGTGATACGCATGACGTACGTTATAAATTTTCAACATTAACCCAAGCATACTCGAACGTACAAACATTCGCTAATTATAAATAATAAGTACATGAACATGATGTTATTGTATGCAATATCAACGAGACACAAACCTGTCCTCGTCGCGCGAGTGACATAATAATTTTTTACAATAAACGTCTTATTCACTTTTATGAAACAATTATTGCAAGTTATATCATATCTCATGCAGTTTGAGGTTAAGGATACAATAGCCGGCTGCGTTTTGCCCACAGATTAATAGACAGATAGCCAAAGGTCCGGGTTGAGACGAGACCAGCATTTCTCACTGGTTTCAGCGCCATACCGTGTAGCGGCCAATGCAGTAACTACGTTCTTGATAAAGCAGGTCATTTTCGGACGAAGTCGCTATAAATAACTACAGTTTCGTTATCATTGTTATATTATCGCTGTGCAGATATAATATATATATGATAAAAAAGCTGCGCAACCCCGGGAAAAAATATTCATATCTGACAGTATATATTTATATATGAACATGTAAAACTTATATATGTTCATATATGTTCATATATAAATAAGATATGAACACATATAAGTTTTACATGCCCATATATAGAGCATATATAATCATATATGGTTATCTATTGCCATATATGATCAGATCGTATATTATACATGACACAAGATCTGATCATATAAGTTCATATATGGTCAGACATATTATTATGTGTAGCAGATATGACACTATACATAATCGTATCTGGCCTTACATGATCGTATATAAAGAATGTTTGGCCATGTATTATCAGATACAATTATATATGGTCATACATAACTATATCGGCACTGTATATGATCATATATGACAAGACGCGATGTATATATGACCAGACTGGGATATAATGATATATAAAATGTCCGGGAAAAATATTCATATCTGACAGTATATGAACATATATAAATGAGATATGAACAGATATAAGTTTTACATGCCCATGTATAAAGCAAATATAATCATATATGGTGATCAGAATCATATATGGCGATAGATAACCATATATGATTATATATGCTCTATACATGGGCATGT